CGATTTCAACTATCCATATTATTGAAATTGGCACCAATGCCATAAATATTGATCGATTTATTGCAACTATTCTGTTTTTAATTGCTGCACTCTTTACTCGCACAAACGGCGAAGTGTTTATACTGTTAATAAGGTGCAATCCTGTGGCTTTACTGTGTTTCATATAGAGAGTTACGAACCAACCAACAACACCCATTAAAAGATATGCGATATAAGGCACATATTCCGTAAAACTTTGTTTATCAATGACTAAAATTCAATCAACATACAAAAATTTAAAAAAAGGTTAAAATAAGTGAAATAAGTTGCTTACATATTATTTTATACAAATATCCCAATAATCCAGTGCCCATTATTATCGGTACTACATAATAATAAATATTTAAAATGATAGAGATATATTTTTGATCGCTCCAGAAAAAATATCGCAAAATTCCAACTGAAAGTGACAGATCTTCCATAGGCAGATGGGTTTGCCCCACGAAAATTATATCTCTTTGAAAATAGTTGTTGAAACGCGACATTTTGAGGAAATAACATTCGTACTAGGTAATTTTTCTAGTGATAGCTGAAGTGGATTTATTTTGTATTGATTTCTATATTACTATAATGACCGATAACTTATTAAAATATTTTGTGGTGGAATAATGGAGGGTAATGTTTACACATACAAGGGTTTACCAACCTTTCGTTTTTTCGATGAATTCTGAGCGCCATCATTATCAATTAACTTCAGTTGGGAAATCCATGTATGCAATATGTATCATTGTACAATTAGTGATATTTATCTACACGTATATTTTGTTTTATTCATCTTTATTGCATTTATATTTAATTTATATTAGTATTATGGCAGTATTTCCCACATACCAAGCACGATTAGCACGGTATTGCACTTCTTGTCTTCTTCAATTTCTTCGTTAGCACTTTAGACATTGGTCTATAGAAATTCCGTTGCATTCACAGCGATTATGTAAGGTTATAACTTAGAAGTAAGGCGTCCGAGAGTCGTAAACATGTGAAACCTATGTATTTTTTAATCCATGGTAAAAATCGCTTGTTTCGCCGAAACGAGCGCTCCAGCGCGCATGAATTAATTCGTAATATAAAGCATAATTTACGATAGTGATTTTTTTATTATTGCAGCGGTGCGCCGTTAATTATACGCTCGCTCGTCGCTCTTCGCGTAAACCTTGTCGTAATAGACTTATTATAATCTTGACATTTGCGCGCGAACGCAAATCAACACGATAATTATCGCCTTACGGACGCAAGCAAAAATTGCCGTCTATCAATATGTAATAAGTCACAATTATGTGCGCGATTGTTCTGGGTATTTACACAATTGCATGCAGCGTGCTCGCGTCGTAAATCAAGCCAACGTCGATGTGATAGATAGACACAGTCCGGTGAATGGCGCTGCATTAACCGACTCAGCCGAATCGCCCGATAATTAATTATGATTTATCGGTCAATAATAATATTTTTCCGCGTTTTGTTTGTTGAATACTTACCGGGCGCATGGCTCACGTGCCCACTAATGACGTTCCATAATTTTATGCGCCGATATCTATGTTTATTGCAATTCATTGAAAATTAAGACTACCTTGTTTTATTTTATTGCGGATCTCGATAAGCACTATTCAACGATGCATTATGCAATATACAACGGTTTGGTTAGGTTGATTATTAGTTTATTATGAGCCTCTCTCATTGCGCTAATTGAATGTTTTATGTTATGCGGATGCGTGCGCCTCATGCATCGCAATTATTTATTATCCGGATGGAAACCAGATCAGCATGTCGATTCGTCGAGTAGCAAGTTACGATGTTGAGGTAATGACGCATTAAATGCAATTATCGATCGCAACCGGTGTGTGAACGAGCCGACATCGTATGATTACGAATATCTAATTTAAGTGTCGAACTTCGATTGAGGTTAAACTGTCATAACGCTATCTACAAACATGAATAACAACTGTTTTATGTTATTTTTGTATATAATTTATAGTATGTGAATAAATGACATTAAAAATATGTTAGGATATTGTATGACAAGTTGTCTTTGATTTGATTTTGGATACGTTTTTCTTGTGATCCATTCGTCACCTCGAAGTGGCAGCCGTTAAAGTTGGTAATTTTGAGCGGACGACGCCTAGGCACTAAATTATTTACAAATACATGACAGCTCAGAAATATTATCCTCTTCCGACGTGTTTATATTGGGACAGATGTCGGTCGCTTCGTGCCGAGCGAGCGCGCCGAGAATGAAAAATGTGACTGCGCTTTCAGCTTTCTAATTACTGGCTACAAATCTTTCTCGAGTTGTCAGTTAGCGCGCGGTGTTGCCCTCGCAACGTATATTTACATTAACGAGCCGCGGGGACAAGTTTTTCCAAAAAGGCAAGTGTACGCTGCCAAGGTTTCCAAGACGGACTGTTTGCACGCAAAGTGCCGCTTTGTACTTACGGCCATCACGAATGAAAAAAAAAACACAACGATACGAAACCGACAAAAAAGAAACGAAATTGCAAAGGTGCTAGGTGCACGTTCGGGGGATGCGTCTTTCTATATACCGAAAAATATCCTATCGGCATTATCGGCCTCCGAGGTGCGATTTCAGACTTGCAAACGCCCCGACGCGTTGATATACACCTGAAATACTGGCCTAATATCTGCTGCAAGAATACGCGTTCATCCGCAGGGAACCATCCTCGCACCTCAGGCACAAAACCTTCCTCGACTTCATTCCATTCCTCTATATTTGATGCACACGAGAATCTCATGACCAGCCGCATGTGAATAATCGCATGACTTATACGCATCCACTTGTATCTGTCGGATTATCGAGATTATTATTATGCAGCACTTGTCGTGCGCGCGGCGATAATTAATTAAATCGCAGCCCACGTTGCGCTGCAAACGACCACGCAAAAATTACGCCATTATCACATTAACTAGCGCACTTGCGGTTGTGCGCAATAAATTTTACATTAAACAATAATAAAACAACCGAACGGTAATAATATTGACGGGAGACTGCTTAGAATTTGCATTCGTAAGTGGCGTTTATTGTTTTACAATCGGCTACGGCGTCTTGTGGGCGGAAATTTCATTTGTTGCGCTCATAAACTATTGCATTCTATCTGTATTTATGGCAAATACTAAGAAAATGCCAACGAAAAGTGTTTAAAAGCGCGGTGTGAAACAATGGTGCGCACTTAGCGCTCGTAAGCAAATAATAGACTTTTGCGGTGGGCTGTACCACCGCCTTCGTCTTCAAATATTCACGGAGGTCATGAATGTGTTTTAATAAAATTGCGACCGTTGTCCCATAGCAATAGAGTAATTTGCGATTAGACATTTATATATCAATTTACAATATACTCATTTGCTTCCCAACCAAAATAATCAATTTTCCTATGAAAAAAACTCGAAAACTAAAAAAATTCTAAAGAAAATTTTAATAAAATTTTAAATCATAATTAATTCTCCCATTGTTAAAGTAAATATTAAATGTTTGTATCTGAATTACTTGTCCTGAAACTTTTGGATCAAGTGTGGTATGAAGTGCTGCTCACCGTGAGACTTGGTGTCTCTTTGTGGCCGGGGCGTTGAAAGCGACAAAGTGTTCGGATATGTATGGGCTTTTCAGGTTCACGATCTGCATACGCGGCCGAAGAAGACGGCGAATGCGCGCGCGGGCGGATCGGTAGCAACAGGACGAGGCGGTTTATTCAGTTTGAATAATGAGCGCGCGTTAATCACGACACCCGGCCACTTGAACTATAAATATGCGCTTAACGCGCTTTTATTATACTGTTTTGCATTGCTTCGCGTACGTACAACATCCACACGCCGCGCGCCGAGTGAAAACTTTCCCGCATGCTCGCTGATTTATGAGTATTATATCCGTGTAACGTGTAATAAGAGCGAGCGATGTAAAAGGCTTCTTACTGAGCGCATTCTTGTGCTCTCACAAGTGTTATAAATACACAAAGCATATCAATACGTTGAGACACAGTTTTTAAATGATAATATTTTGCAAGTAAAATCTTCATCAGTGAAAAATTCAAAAATTATTTAAACATTTTCTGATTTGATCTTGATCTTCTCTATAAAGAATTTCTCGTAGATTCAGAATTTTCAATCCGTTCCTCTCTGTCCCTTTTAGTTTACGAGATATTCGCAATTGAAAAAAAAAAACTCAGAAAAACATGAAAAGCACTTTTAGTCACAATTTCTGAACTTTTTTCCTACAAAAATTAAATATTTTATTATACTATCTTATAAAGAATTTTCCTATCTTTCATAATCTTCAATCTATCGCTCTTTGTTTCCGAGATATTAAAAAATATCGCAAAAAACGAGCATACGATGAATCATTACATGCAAAGTCCTCCAATTATAAATCAATTCGATTGATCGTTTGACGGTGAGCAGTTAAAAACAGTTCAGCAGCAAGAGTTAGTTTGATGTTGAAGTAAATGCATTTTACCAATTTATGACTTAATTGAAAGTATTGATTATGTACCGCTGAAGTCACAGCAAGCGGTGTTAGATACACTTGCGTTGAGCGCTGAGTTAATTACAGGTCTAATGACATTTCACCGTATCAGCGGTTTTAATAGCTGCCGTGTTCCGTATCGATGCACGCAAGATAATCGAGAGATAATTTCTAATAAGACAGCTACGTCTCACACTTTTGCGCCGCGACAACATGGCTGCCGCGCACAGTTTGTCGACTAGGCGTCGCCGCATGTAGGTAAATAACGAGAGAACGGAACATTAAACATTGAAAATTTATTGCAATTACAGAATTACAATTACCAATGCTGTAATTACCGCGATACTTTATTACAAATAACTTTATTACGGATTGTAAAGTTGGCGTTGATTTGCTTTGATCTGTGATACTCGTATTTATCGCCCACGCAGAGCTTGTGATTTATAATTGTCTAGTGTAATATATAATATTAAATATATAGGTGGGTACTTACCTGCGTGTGGTTAAAACGTTGCAAAATCGAAAATTACCAGGCTTAACAAGCGAGATCATGGCACCATTCGAGTGGAACTCTGCGATTTCGAGCCGATTTCCCATCTCTGCAATGAAAATCAAAAAGTTGTGTCAATCGCTTTTCGACTCACTATCGATATAGAGTTGGACCCCAAACGCCTCGAGAGGTTTTATTTTTATTATCGCCGCCTCTGCACGTTGCGCAGAGTACGATGTCTCTTTCGATGCTGGCCGGGATGAAGCGACTAAGCCCCTTGAAACCCGACCATCCCGGCGAGCAGATCCCGCCGGAACGATTTTCTAAATCACTGCTTAGCTGCCCACCAAATTGGCCTGGCGACACTAAAAAAACTTTATATAAGCTGCGAAAATCGTCACGTAAAAAATGTTGTTACCTCAAAATTAAGCTACGCTTTAAGCATTCATACCATCAAAGAACTTGCTGAAGTTATCTTATAGAGTACAAAATTATAAACATTTTACTATTAGAAATAAAAATAAACAATACTTTAAACAACATACATATTTTAATTTAATTTTCTTAGCATGTTAACATTATTTCAATGCAGCCTTAAGCTATGCATCAGCAATGTTAACATTTACGTCGCAAACGACTAAAAATGATTGTTAAAAAGCGATTGGCGAGAGCCATAAAACCAATCCGTATGATTATCATACGGGCGGCGGCGGCGACGACGTGTAATTATTTGCACTGACCGAGGCCCGCCTAAACGGTTCTATGGATTCTCTCTCTGCATTCGCCGGTCGTTATCCGCGATATTAAATTACAGTTCACGCGAACTGCCTCAACTATCGCCGCTGAGCGATCGTGTTCTTTGCCGTGTTGCGGAGTTTCAAAGCCTTAGTTAGAAGAAAATACATTTAACTCTTTTCGTTTGTTTACTAATCTTATTATTCCACGAATTGTATACTGAAGATAAACCACATTAAATAGTTTAAAAATTGTCCGTTAGATGGCGTTAATAGTATTTTAGTATTTATTATAGGTTAAATTCGATCATGCTGGTATTAAATGTTAAACATATTTTATTATCTCATTTTATAATAGGCACCTATTTATACATCGTTGAGTTGAGTCGAATTGAGAGTCCGTGTCCATATCAATATCAGTCGACACGAAACGTTAATTATTAACTTATTTATGCATAATGAAAAATTGCGCATCGCGCTCGTCGAGACCAATCGATTAATTATTTGCAGCAAATAGTATTTATAGTATGTTTACTGTCTGCTCGTAGCGCGCATCTTTCGCAAGCGGTATCGCTGTTCCGAGCGAAATAAATAACAATAAATAAAAACGTGCACGGCAAATACGGTTCAATAAATAAAATCACCAGTGAGTTATTGCGCGCTGCCATAACATTAATTAAATGCCACGAGGTTATCGAGAAAACTACACACATATTAGCGAACGCGCGCAACAAGCGCGAGTTATTAATGTCATAATAAAGTATTTCTGACCCGCGACGAACCCCGCGCCGTCCTCTAGCGCGCTCTCGCCGTCGTCAATAAATTAAGTTATTTTCTCGCATTTTTATCGCCGTAAATTATTTATTTTAATTGACACTTTCATCGTATATATTTAATAAACATGACAGATATTATCGCTTCGCAAATGTGACGCGACCTACTGGCTGTTGCAGAGATATCCGAGTTTCAAACGCGTGAGAAAGCCACCAGTGGGTTTGTATCACCCTGACAACACAACAACAAGCAAAAGTTGTTTATTTAATTAGTTGTTTTACAATCTCGCATTCGTCAGGCGATTGCATGATGTAGCGTAAAATTGCCCGGCTAAGTTAATTTGAATTTTTCAAAATGATCGATGAGGAAATTCATCAATATTAGTCAAGCAAACACGGATCAAAATTGCTGCCACAAGCTGTATATACTGAAACGACGGAGTAATCGAGGAATAATATAATTTATGTTCCCGATAGAATAACGCATCGACATGGTGACACTATCCGAGGCATGATATCGACTACGATTTGTTACGTAAACGCTTCACCGATTTCTGTCCGGTCCGGACAAACCATTAGGTACATACGCGACGCCCGGCTGAGCAGGAGCCAGAACCTTTTGTTATCGAGTTGCATCGTGGTCGGCTGGATGGTCATGTCCGATCGAGTGTGAAGACCAACGCTGTCGCTCGCCTGTATAATAAAACACGCTTCTAATTGTCTCTCTATCTTTCTACCTACGAGTACAAATTTTTACCCATTTGGAGGAAAAATATACGAGGCCCTTTAGAAAATGAGATAAAATTGTTTGTTTTCGGTTTTCTTAAGTCCGTAGGTAATGCCCGGCGAAATATTCAGTAGATTCTAGAGTCTAGACTCTCTCAACTTGGAATCTATTACCATTCGCCTCCTGTCGACGTATAATTCAGCCCGAGCACAACGATCTAATTTATTGGACGCAAATATTGCCCACCGCTCAGCGCGCGCGCGTTTCTACATTCGAAATTATCTTTTAAAGTTTCCCAAGAACGCATTAATCGGCATTTACTTGACAACGCCGGTGACATATTTATGATGCCGAGTGCGCCGCTCGCGCATATGAATGTTTACCATACATTAACGTAATTTATATCTATCGTTGCCTGGCATTTCTATTAGTCCATAACAACTGCGCTACTATTCTCTGAGGATTTATAAGTAACAATATCGTTTGGTGTGAGAGATACGAGCGCGACATTTGCGCGCACGAATTGCGTACGAAAAGGAAAAAATATATTCAGAATTGAGAGAAAAAATGTAACGTGTGGAGTTACAATGTATTCATGTGCATAAACAACACGTCGCTAGTCTTCTTATTCTCACTAGTCTTGCTACTTATAATAATGTATACAAATGGAGTGCAACCGAGTTAAGTGGGTTTGCTCGCTGTTTATTAAGCGATGTGACGAGATTACGCACTGAAACAGAGAAATGTGTCACTTCTCAAGCTGGTGTGCTAAATTTTTATGACAAACATGAATCGTGAATCATGTTAAAAACAAATTGAAGCCATAAATTTTAAGTTAAGTTATAACAGTGATTGAGTTGTGAAATTGCTCATTGAATAAAATGAATCTTAGTTTCAGCAGTCTGTGAGCAGTCTGCTCTAATCATCTATAATTTAAAATGGCGGTAATTGACAGTTGCGTTGAGAAAATGGTACCGAAATGGCGTGTGTTTATCTAATATCTACCATTAGGCGGCAGCGGCCCAAAGTTGGAGCCAAAGAAACCGCGCCAGAAACAAAATCACTACAATTACGCTGGCGACGCTTAGGCGATCGCGTATAATTACGAATTTGGGGTTGGGTGTCTGTCGGCGATTGTCGGATTCAAAATGGCTGAATTCTCGCCAAACAAAACAACAACGGCGCCAATTGATTGCTATTTACACCACTTACGTATAGGTTATAGATCAATCTGATTAATTATCGCTCGTCGATGCGAAATAAACACATAATAATAGTGATCGGGATCGGCACGAAAAGTAATACGATTCTTATAAATCAAATAACACATTTTATATTTAAAAATTTAACAATAAAAATAGCTCACATTTTATATAATTATTTTTTTGTGGTTTTGTTTTATGAATTACACATTTGATATGATTATTTGTAAGTAATTTTAGATACAAGAAGAATTTTTTTGCATTTTTTCTGTTTGCAGTTGTTGTTTGCCATTTTTGTACATTTAAAAAAACGGAGTCGAGAGCTGGAGATTTCGCTCGCTTGTGTTTTATTTTAGCATAATTAGTCACATTTAAATAAATAGAATTTAATGAGATCTGTACAATAGAATTAAACATCACTTATAATTATTATGATACAAGGTCTAATTACTCTCGGCCGGTCGGCGTGCCTTGTCCCGCGTCGCAGGAATTAATTAGCTTTTTTTTGTACACAGAGATAAAGTTTAAATTAATATCACACAGTCACGTCCACAAAGGTAAGGTAAACCCACCCAGTCGTATCCAGGCTTTTATTTTTGTTTGTCTTAATCGCAGAAATGAAGCAAAACATATAGAGACTAGTTTGATGAGTCCTCATGAAGTTTTATTAACACAGCTCTGAGATAGGACCATCCTATGGATGCATCCCTGGTGCCGCGCCCAACCTAGGCCCATAAAGGGAATATGGTGATAGGTATGGTGGCAGTCCAGGATGAGTGAGCGGGTAACTGCTGAGATGTGAAGTGGTGAGCGATGGAGGTAGCAGGGACGGCTTGCTGTACGGATGGTATCTGGCTGTGGCGAGAGGGCTGAGCGGCGGTGTTGGATACGTGCGATGAAGAAGCGGGTGCGTTGGAGGAAGACCTGGTGCACTAAGCATGGACAAAGCTGTTGCTTCCGAAACAGATCCGACGCTGGTGTGAGTCCGTAGATGAGTTAACAGTTCTTCAGAACTGGAGAATCTCTTTCCACAGTATGCACCATCACCAGAAATCCAGTTACAAATATGTGGCAGGTGAGAAGCTGCTGCCAAAGCTGCCAGTTGTGCGTGTGCGTAGGCGGCGGCGGCAGGATTATGGGACAGATAACTAGGTGCTTTGGAAGTGGCGTGATCACACTGAGTACATCCAGCTGGACATGAAGTAGTTTTTGGAGCGACGGACGTGGGTACCATTAAATGAGAACTTAGACTACATCCAGTACAATAGGGATCTCTGCACATCGGATCAGTTGGGCTCTTTAACCTTGCGTAATTTAAATACGGGCTCAATCCACCAGCTTTCAAAGCATGGTGTTGAGACATTAGACTACTAGTCATCAAATCCATTCCAAGCGGAAAACCAGGTGGATATCCACCCAGATACGCTGAAGACACCGGAATTGATGGTTTATATGCACCAAAACCAACCGCCTCCGATGTGGGAATAGACGGTATCAAACTAGCCTTGGATGTGGATGGTGTAACAGGACTTCCACGACTTTGTTCGGCATTGCCGGGAGTATGGCGATCGTCAGTGGCGTTTTCGGAAGTCGTAGTGTTTGTTGTCGCAGGTGTTGCCTTCCGTTCGGTAGCAGCTGGTGACTCACGTGCGGAGGTGGCACTCTGATTACTGCTGCAGCGAATCGAGTTGTTCGCACCACCACCACCGGAAGCACTTTTGCTGCTTGGAGTTCGCACACGACTGCTACCGTTTGTAGAAGCGGTGCTTGCACGCTCCTCGGGTGATTTGGACTTCTCCCGAGAGGAACTGATCTCGTAGGGCTTAAAGTTCGCCTTGTTCGGTGAATCTGACTTGCTGCTCTTCTCCTTGGAAGTTTCTTTGGTTTTCTTCTCACTGTTGTTTGTGCCAGCAGCGCTGTTTGCGATCAACTTGGAATTCTGTGAATCTGCGCCGATTTGCGAGCATGTTTGAGCCAGCAGGGCCAAGGGACTCTTTTTCGCATCCAACTATAATGATAATAAAAAAGAGCGTGTTGATTAAAACGCCGAAACGAATGGTGGATCGTAAATATTTAATTATGGCAAAGCACTCAAGAGAAATTTAACTTAAGTATCAGTTCGTTAATTGCAACCTAACATCCTGTCTCGTAAATAATGGAAATAAAACGATTTTACGATCCAATTGAATCTATAATCATAAAATAAACGATACTCGCCCGTTATCAACGCGGTAAGTTACGACCTCATAGAACTTTCATTATTATTTATTTATTTAAATTCGGTTTTATCGTCCCGCATTGCCGTGAACAAAAAAAAACACAGATTGAGCAATAAAGTAAAAAGCCTCACCGTAGTTGGGAGCGGTGTTAAGTACTCCGGTCGGAGGTATTGATTGCTTGACGTAAGCATTTTGTGTGATAAAAATAGTCCAACACTCGTGTGGGGAAAGACGATGCACTTTTGGAAACTTTTCAGAAAACTAACTCTCGGCGTTGAAGTTTACGGCCATTCGGTATACAGCGCGCACAATTTAGCTGGAGCACGAACCGTCGCCGAAGAAGTCGAGAGCGAAACTGAAGCTCGTCGCGACGAGCGTTCGCCGCGCGGCATGATACGGCATGCTTCGGTCGCGCAGTTCGTGACGTAACGTGCGCCTCTTCATCCCCACTGCTCTTTGACACCCTCGACGACCGCAGATCACCCTGTTATTGCTTCTTCTTCTTCGTCCTCTGTACGCTATGCGCTTGCTGGTAGATATCCATGTGAGCATTTTCGGCTGTGTGTGTCTGCCTGTCGACACCATTTTGCTTTGCGTTTAGCAAAATTAAAAACCTCTCGACCGTACAAATCTCTACGACTGGCGTGTAGAATTAATTTGGTTGGGCCACCGGAAAGAAATGCGATTTGCATTTATTTCTCTTTTCTTGTAGACTAGCGATAGATTTTCGCAGCAAGCAACAAATCGCAGTTATTTAGATTAAAGGTCGAACCCAGCGAGTCAGCGGGTGGAGGGCTAAGTGCCGAAGCAGCAAATGGGGATTACATGAGTGGTCCCGAGGGTGTGATCTTCAGTCCGGCGAAATCCGGCTGCCGCCGCCGTCGGAGCGTGCAGCGCAGCGCCTAAAGGTCATACATCTTGTCACGTCTTTGCGAACCAATCAACCGTGATTTATATCGAGCGATCCAAGTCCCCGACCTGCTTCCACTTCACTCGGCCACGATAAAACCGAAAGCCAAGACATCCGGTAGTCGATGGACTAGTCATGCAAACAAATAACCAGATCGACGAATGCGATAAATTAAGGGTTTGTCCTACGAGCCGTGCGCAGCTGTTGCGCCGGAATGCCGCGACAAGTCATTCCCGAAAACATGTTTGTTTTTCGAAGCAAATTCGTGACTTCTAGTCGTGTGTGTCAATCTGGTCTTTAGCACCGCGTAAGACTTCCTAGAAATCCGACGAGCCGTCAACGTCGGCCATAAAGATCCGGCGCGGCTGTTTAGACATAAATTGTGCTCCAACTCGCGCCGATCCCGCACTCGCTAAGTGCTTTTCTAAATTTCATTTAAGTGGATTATTTTTATGTTTCGACGAAAATTATAACGAACAACCGGGCCGGCCATAAAACACCGCTCCCTAATCAGTATTTATACCTCCGGGGATTTCGTCTATGGACTTTACTGCGGGACATAAAGTTGAAAGCGTTGTTCTTTCCTCCCAGTTCTAACTTAACGCTGCATTCCTTCCTGCTTAGAACACGGGACGCCAAATGATTTTCACTGAAACCCAAAAACGGGACCATTTGACCACGCTTCACAGGGCAAAGTGAACTAGACACTCCGGTGAGATATGATGAGTACAGACTTTGACAGTTGATTACCACGGTCTATTGACTTCGAATAGGGGGCTGCCATTGTACGCTGCTTCGCTTTCGAAAAGGTGAGCTGTCGCAATATATCATTAGACAAAGTGACAGCGGCCATAACTAATGGCCGCCCTGTGTGTGTATTTTAACATTAGTCGCGGCCCCGCGTGCACCCAAAAGTTGTGTACGAAAGTGACAAACCGGACATTAGCAGATAGTAGAGCAGCTGCACACAAAAATTGCCATTAATTTGAGTGTCATACTCGAATGGGCGATGGTTGATGCTGATGTGTCCTGCCCTCAGGTATGCACTTGCACATTTCGCCTCCAGTTGGAAGCCCAGAGCGGATGACAGCACATTCAGTGATTTGTGAAACTACATGCCGTGAAGGAGCTGTATGCTCGGGCTAGATGTGTGCAATTCTGCGTGTAATTCGGAACTAGATGGGCGATTGCATGAGGTCTTTCATTGTGCGCCGGCAAACCGAGGATTGATTTACTACCGTTAAAGAATATAACGCGGCGCGAAAGAATAATGTCCCATCTCAATAGCGTCGGGCTCGACGGTGGGCGATATATCAAGTCCGTACGCAACACGCCGCCAACTTCGTGCACGCTCCTCGTTCTGTTGGGACGACGATAGAGAGATGACGTACGAGAAGGAACAACCTGGTCCAATTGCGCGTGAGTTTCGTGAGCGCATCGCGTTCTGCGTGAAGACCGTTTCTAATGCCTATGCGGTGATGAAGTGGGCTCAGTTTATCATCGAAAATTGCGCTACGCGCGTTTATGATGCGTGCTTTTTTTTGGGGGTCTGCGAACGCATTACCCATTCATATGGAATAACAAACAACCCCTTTTGCTTCCCTCTGTAACCTTCAAGTTGGTTACGAAATTATTCTGTGTGAACATCGTCGTCGAACAAAGAAATTAAATGGTCTAGTTGAAGGCAATCACTTTACCGATGTTGAAAGAAGGGCTCCGTGCATAAATCATGTCCCAAACATATTTAAATCCTTGGTGTGGTTCCAGGGTACGACGTCGATTTGCAATAAATCGTGCTGAATAAATTTCTATAATATATTATCACTTCATATTCGTAATATCCTGTTACAAATAATAGTTATGTACAGATGTTAATGTTAATTTACAAATTTTAAAAAATGGCGGATTCTTTTTGGTTTTAAATCAACCAAGCGAATAAATCGTGTAGCTGTCGAGCATTGTAAAAATATGCAATACAATATAAACGACGCTGGTGTTTTGCGACGCGCACAAGAAGTAATAAATGCTGCTACACGCTTTATATCAGGTGCAATAAATAATCTTGTTATTCTATTATAAACCGCAGAGAATACAGCACCGTCCAAAGTTGAAGTATTGTCCCTGTTCGCTAGCGCTCGTACCCGGAAACGTCGCGCCATATTTCTTCCTCTTTTATTGTAGCGTAATGTATCGCAAAACGCGGCGAAAAATCGGAATTCCTCGATACGAAGGCACACAAAAGATGTGACAATAACAACACACCGACATTAGTCAAAGTGAAAAAATGGCAGCGCATAAAAGCGCAAACCTGTATAGTGTTCGAGTGATCATCGATTACCTACACCCGGACAGAGAGACAGGACTAGGAGAGGAGGTGAAGAGCACAGGCAGGGTGAAAATCCATCATGTGGCGTATAATTTGCGATGACAGACAAGGCCGGGTGAAGATGATATATTTAGAATCCCCACCCCGTCCGACTCGATCTCTCATCAATCTTCATTGCCCGCGGGCGTCGGATCTAATCCGTTGCTATGTCGCACAATGCGATTTAATGACCGGCGACATACTATGTATTTAGTTTGCCGCAGTTGACGCTCCAGTCCATTGTGAAACAGTTTCCACTAGCGCTAGCCAAACCAACCCTCCCTTTACTCACTGGTGGTGTGTGTGCTAATATTGTCGTGCCGGCATGGCTTGCGGAGTGTAATCCGCGGCCTCAGCGATTCAATCCCTCTTTCCCTTCAAACAAATGCGTTTGCATCACTCATTTAGTGCGTGTCAAGCGTGGAAACCGAAAGCTTTACGCACCGTGATACGTAATAACAATGCCGTTAAACTCACGCCGACGTCGTCTAAGCGCACCATCATTGTCGCGAAGGTCATGAATTTATGCTCAGTTAAGATCATCAAAATTTTATGACCCGTCTCATGGCTGGTGCGCTGGTATAAAAGGCGTTTTACGCTGTAATTTATGCGTTTTGATATAGATCGTGCTTAAGAGTAACCCCGCGCGCTGAACGCCGATGGGGCCTTAAAGTGTTTACGTGTAAAATATTTGACAATTCTTATTACGTCCCCCGGATCGTACAGACGAGCCAGGAGTAAACCGGGCTTGGCCTTAATCTGAATATATGATCGTCCTTATTGTCTCCTCGCGAGTAAACCTGCACGGATGTTCGTGCAATTAGAACACCACCGGGTTTTAAAATATTGATCAGTAACTTTGGTTTGTGTCACCACCGTGCACATACTGAAATTTTTGAATGAAATAGTCTCGTGGAGAATTATGACCATCTTAAAGGCATTCAAAAGCAATTTGACAAAATGTAAACCAACATAAAATTTACATCACACTTAGGCCATTAAACGGAAGAATGCGTATATACCGAGTGCAACTGATACATTTATTGAGGACATGACGGAAGTAACTTTACAGTGGCAATAAAAGCTGGTTTATTTGCCGGGGTTTGGCCGGCAGTCACGCGTTTCCAAGAAAAAACATAAAATTTCCAGAAATCCGCCGTTTCCATTACGGAGTGTAACAAATTTTATTGGAAGGTTTCCACGGCCGGCCGGATTGCACCATTTTGCCGGCGTCGTGCTAAAAGGCACTAGGCGCCTTGTAAATTTATTTGTAAATAGGGGATAATTATAGTTTTATTGTGTTTTCGACCCGAGTGAGAGGCGCTTCCATCGCAGCAACGCCGAGGGTGTGTTAAACTGTAAATTACTCTCGTCCGGCGCCAAGAGACTTGTTAAATACAAACCGACAACAACAGTCCGTCTATTCATCTTCAGGTTTCCTTCTATGATGCTAACAATAGGCGCCAGCTATCTCATGTGTGATGTCTTCCTCACATGTTCAAACACAAGCAGAAGAGATATCAATATTTAAATTTACTTATCGCCTTGAAGCTGCTCCTGGGATGTGGTAGGACAGTAGGCGTTCGTTTGTGGACACATTCAATTCTCGGATTTATCGACTCCCGTCGTTTGGTTGTTTCATTAGGCCAGTGGCATGAGAAGGAAAAGTATTATGGTTATTAGAGTCTATTATTAACACCTGATCTAGAAATACGTGATTAGACGCGTGAGCAGGCGCGATTGCGGAAGAACAACAAACACTTCGTCGCTGGCACAAACAAAGCGTAATAGCGCAATGCATTTGGAGCGAATTGTCGCGCTTATTTCGCACCGGAGAAACTTGATGCTCTCGCGCAGGAAGCGAAACGAACTGAGGAAAAATACCAGTCTTATATGCAAGCTCATGCAAAATTGCTATACTTTGCAAACTCAATACAACGTTCTTCGTTTGCATTCATACAGTCAACCACAAAAAATCCTCATTTATTTTTATAATATTTATTACATAACACAATAGATGTCGATGTTTAATTTTTATTTCCTTAAAATATTTCTATACTAATCAATTTAATGATAATAATTACTTGATGAGG